GCAGCAAGAAGAAATTTGTTTGGACGGCGGAGGTAGAGCGAGCATTTGAAGAACTGAAAAGGGCGTTCGCTTCGGAAGAGCAACTTCTGCATGTGGATTTACAAAAACCTATGAGAGTCGAAACCGATGCATCAGACCGGGCGGTAGGGGCGGTGCTTCTACAACCGGGGAAGAGTAAGTCGGAGTGGAGACCGTGTGCCTTCTTCTCGCGGAAGCTGAATAAATCCGAGAGGAACTACACGGTGTATGACCGAGAACTACTCGCCATTCACGAAGCGTTCCGGAGATGGAGACATTTATTAATTGGTGCACAACATAAGGTGCAAGTGTGCACAGACCACAAGAATTTAGAGTATTGGAGAACGGCACGAGTGCTCAACCAACGACAAGTGAGATGGGCCCAGGAGTTCTCCAAATTCCACTTTGAAATTTGTTATGTGCCAGGCCCAGAAAACGTCAGGGCGGACGCTCTCTCACGTAAACCCGAGTATTTGGAGGGGGAGGGAGCAACCGAAGAGAGACATGTCATCCCAGAGGACCGCTGGGTGTGTGGGGCGGCACTGGTGGGGCAAAGAGAACTGGTAGAGGAAACGGAAAATGATGAATACGCCCAGGATAAGCTTAGAGGTCTCAGGGGGGAGGGAGAGAGCCCCAGAGGCTTTGAGGAAAGAAATGGGGCATTGTATTACAAAGGGGCACTGTATATACCCGAAGGAGAATTGAGGGGGAGAGTACTCAAGCAGTTGCACGATAGCCCCACAGCGGGGCATTTTGGGCAACACAAGACCATGTGGTTGGTTACCAGGGAATTTTGGTGGCCCAAGGTGAGGGAAGATGTAAGGGAGTATGTAAGAGGGTGTGACCAATGCCAGCGAGCCAAAGGGGAAAGGCGGGCGCCGGCAGGGTTATTAGAACCATTACCCACACCAGAATGGCCATGGGAGGCGGTATCGATAGATTTTATGACGGATCTGCCGAAGTCCAAGGGGAAAACAGCCATCATGGTAGTAGTAGACCTGTTAACAAAGATGTGCCACTTTGTAGCATGCTCACATGCAGTCACAGCGGAAGAGACAGCGAAATTGTTTGTAGAACACATTTTTCGGTTGCATGGCGCCCCCTTGAGGGTGGCCTCAGACAGAGGCAAACAATTTACGTCCAGGTTCTGGAGGAAGCTCATGAGCTTACTGCACGTGGAGGTCAATTTTTCGACTGCCCGGCACCCTGAAACCAACGGGCAGGCGGAAAGAGCAAACGGTATCCTCCAACAATACCTGAGGTGTTATGTCAATGACAGAGAGAACGATTGGGTCGAAAAGTTGGCGCTGGCAGAATTTGCCTACAATAATGCGGAGAATGTGTCTACAGGGATGAGCCCCTTTTTGGCTAATTACGGGTGTCACCCCAGGGCATTTCCAGGGGGAGGAGGGGAGAAATGGAGCGTCCCGGCGGCCGAACATTTTGTAGAAGAGATGGAAGCGATCCATTGTCAGCTCCAGCTCAACTTAGAAAGGGCCAAAGAAGAATATAAGAGGCAGGCAGACAAGAACAGAAGGGAAGGTGAAACCATAAGGGTGGGGGATCAGGTGTGGCTGTCAACCCAAGGGTTGCCGTTCAAAGGGGGTTGTAAGAAATTGAGACCCAAAAGATTGGGACCCTTTGAGGTCATTCAGCAGGTCAACCCAGTGGCTTTCAAACTCCGGTTACCCAACCACATGAAATTGCACCCCGTATTCCATAGGTCTTTACTGTCACCGTACAGGGGGGACGTGAAGGGGAGTACACCAGGGGACCAGCCTTAGAAGAAAGGGAACGCAGCAGCCATGTAGCGGAAATCATCGATTCCAGGTGGAAGGGAAATCAGGTGGAGTATTTGGTGGCGTGGGAAGGGGAACCGGAGTCAGAAAACACCTGGGTGACTGCAGAGGATGTCAATGACGAGGTCTTAATAGAAACGTTCCACCAAAGGTTCCCGAGGAAACCTCAGCCTGTAGCAAGGTTCAGGAGGGAGTACTTCGGCACCACCGACGAGGAAGAGGAACTGGAAGGATTCACGGAATCGGAGTTGGAAGAAGGAATTGACTCCGATGACGAGGAGTACCGGGAGACCAAGAACAGCAACAGGTGGAGGGAAGTGTTCGAGACTTCGGAAGATGAGGGAGGTTCTTTCAGGGGTTTTGCTTCCTCACCGCCCATAGAGGAGGGGACGGGAGGGGGTGAAGGGGGCCCTGGAGGGGAGGTGGATGTCAGGGAACTGCCATCGGAAGGACAGGAGGTGGAAGGGCTCACTGAGGTTGAGAGAGACTTAGCAGCTGAAGAGGGAACCAGCAGGGGGAGAGAAGGAACTCCAAGGGAAAGTGAGTCGGAGGGATGGCTCAGAGACACTTCCAGCGAAAACAGTGGGGAGGTTTCAAGACCTCCTATAGGGACACCCACTCCTCGCCGGAAACTGTCGTGCCGAGAGCCCAGAAGACGTGTTTCCATTAAGGAGCTTTTATGCTGGAAGAGATTCCGTAAGCGCCCACTTTCGGATTCTGCTAGCGACTGACGGAGCCATGCTTGAGGGGCTCCATCGTAGGCAGAGGTTTGCGGATTTGATCAAACTCTGAGGGACTAGGATTTTACGCACAAGCAGCTCATCATCCCATCACAGTGGGTATTGCACAAAAGGAGGGAGAAGGGTAGGCACGGATACAAGGGTGAAGGTGTAAATGGTGGTGCTGTAGAATAGAAAAATAGCTTAAAATATATTGGGAAGGTGAAAGGGTGTTTAGTAGTTGCATGGGGTAGGAAGGGGAAGCACTGGGTGGTTAATGTGGGGGGAGTAGTGATGGGGTTAGCAAGTAAAGAGAAGCCAGTAGAGGCCTACCCGCCACCAGTATTTTTCAAAAGGTAGCAGGGAGAGAGCAATTCCTATCCATCTAGGATAGGCATAAGAGCTGGGCCAATAATTATGAGACTATAACTTTCAAGCAGCAAAATATCTCATGCTTGTACAAGCTGAGAAATTGGACAATTATATTACAGGCCTCCTGGAAGTTGCACTTCTCGACATTGCAAAGAAATAGATGCATCTCTGATTAATTCTCTTACAAGAGCCAAAGGCATCATTTATGCTCTTATCTGCCTTCCTCTGAGCCTGAAGAACGGTAAGAGATAAGAAGATACATTTTTTTTCTTTTTTCTTTTTTGCACAATCATGTATACCTTGGTGCTCTTGTGCCCCAACTTTTAACATATCCTGATCCAGCAATTGTTTATGGGTTTTGAAGCTTGTTAGAGATGCATCCTCCAGATACTTTCATCCTCAATAACTTCTCAATTTAGATCTGTTGTGCATGTGGATTATGTTTCTTCAGTGAAGTGAATGGGGAAGCTTGCAAATGCAAAAGCTTTGTGTATACATCAGAGCAGAAGTGGAATTCTGGAGATGCTATGCAAGTGTTTCTACTGAAAGCAATTACTATTACTCAACTTCCACATAACCACTACAATCCATATATTTGTGTTGATGGATCTTCATAGCATTATTTGTTATTTGCTTCCTGCCGTGTCTCATAAGACAGCTAACATGGGGCTTATCACAGCAACCCTGTGAGGTAGGATAGACTGAGAGTCTGTGTCTGAGCCAAATCTAGTCAATATACTTCTCACTGACTCACTAGGGATCTGAATTCAGGTCTCTCTCAAGAGTCACTCTGTGAGTGACAATTTGCTGTAATAAAAGGAACAGATGGATAAAAAGTTACACATGCTTGCATGCCATTCTCTATGTGGAAATGTTTTCTGCTCAGAAAAACTGTCACATTTTAAAGAGCTTATTACTTGAATAGCGATATTCTTAAGCAACAATCTATGATCAGTTGATCCATGTACAGTAAAACATACAAAATCAAAGCACTCTTCTGGCCAAGTCACTAGAGCTTAGTGAGCAGAGCATACAAATATCTCAATCCACAGTCTTAGACTATCTGGAAAGTCTTACAGGCATATGCTCCATGAGTGGATAATTTGAAGAAACACAGGTTTGCAAAATGTTGGATTATGAAAGAAACCAAACATTACTGTAATATTGTGATTAGGAACCAGATTTGTTTTAACAGCACTAACACCAACACTGAGGTGCAGCACTTTTTTCTGGGGCTGCTCAAGGGTATGATGTACCAGCATCATTTTTCTCCAGATGTTAAAAGTGTGGCACATACTGTAACAACTTCGTTGTGAGTAATGGCACCTTTTTTTCTAAAAAAAAAAAAAGCACAGCTGAGGTGTATGTTCTGATTTTCATTGGAACTACAGCACTCAGAGACTCGGTTTAACATCCTGCCTGGTAGTTAGTATTAGGTGGAGAAAAACAACTTCCCCTTAATGCCAGTTGCCACATTTTGGGGTGGTGTTCTACTATGTTGTACTCAGAGTAGACGTACTGAAAATAATGAACCTAACTTAGTCATGCGCATTAATTTCATTGGGACTACACACTGAGTAAAACTTAGTTGAAAGCCATTCCAGGTCCCAACAGAAACAGCAGTGCCAACACCTCCCACATTAGTGTTAGAACTTTGTTTTGTTTTAAAGATCAGGCTGAAGATTCCATGAGGAGAGCTGCTGAAAGAGGGGCTCTTGGGGATAGAGTGGGATTCGGTCAGGGATACATAGGTAAGCAAGCTTCATAAACCACTCTGCATTGTGACCTATTGCTTTTGTCTGCCTGTAATAGCATGTTGGCACAGAAAGGGAACTGAGCAGGAAGGGTGAATTATAACATACTTGATCACACACACCCCTTAGATTTTATCCATTGATGCATTTCTTGAATTTTTTTTATGCATTACTTGTGTGCTCTCCAGGTTGTTTCACTCATTCATTTCTTTAGAACTTTGCAAATAAACACGACCTATTGTTTGAGATAGGTCTCAAATGTACACCACATTGTGTACATTTGAGAATAACTACTCCAACTGCTTGGTGGGCCTGGAAGGAATGGGCAGATTTGAAACCGCTTTGCATCTATTTTTAATGATTCATGTCCAAGGAGTTTGTTCACATTTATTCAGCCGACTTTAAAAGAGCCTATTTTGCCCTTTCCCCTGAATATAATATATTTTGTGAGATGCCATCATGAAAAATAAATCCATTTCCTCCACTTCTTGTTAAAAGAGAAAGGCCACAAAATCCCATGCCAGTGTCCACAGCCGCCTTTATAGCTCTGCTTTCTTGGTAACAAGCCCAATCATATTTTTACTGTTTGACATCCCTTGTTGGTCCTCTCTGGCAAGGAGTTCTTCTGGGTCCATGCTGGTGTAAAAATATCCCATGATGGAGAAAATAATAAACACGATAAAGAGCAGTGCAGCAAAGAGGACAAACTCGAGCCACTGGAGAAAGAAGAGGGTTTTGAAAAAAACCAAAAAACCAAAAAGTTAATATTTAGTTGCCAACAACACTTACATATTGATCTTCTTCCAACTGTGCAGAAGCTTAGTCAAACTATTTCACTTCTAGTTACCAGCTGCATATGGCACCTGGAAGTAACAGAGGAGCAGAACTTTGCAAATCACTCTGACAGGGCCAAACTAGATGCAATTTATTGGACACAATTTGGCCTTTTTGCTTTAACCAATAGCTGGTGTGCCTCCTTCCCCCAAACACCAAGCTTCAATAGGACTGTGACATGGGCGATAGGGATGGCGTCATCCCTTTGTGCATGGCCCCATTGCAGTACTGATCTGGATTAGGGGTCCTGCACTGAATACGGTACTTACATTGGGGGAAAGCTCCAGTTTGCTCCAGTTTCCAAAATGGCTCAGGAATGTGAGCATGGAAATCCTTTGGAAGACCATATAGCTAAACTGCTGCTCTTTTCAGTGCATGTGTGGCATGGGGGGAAAAAACCTGTGTGATAACCCAATTTTTCAAAATCCACATTGTGTTTTATTTGGGGAATACTTAGGGAGGCTAAAAACAGGGATATGCTATCCTGAAGGGCAGAATTTGGGCATTTTGGCCTCTGAGGGGAGTTACTGGAATTACGATAAGTTCACCGGTTCTCATGACCACAGCAAAATGTCGCTGTGTGTATGTGTGTTTGGGAGAGGACTGAGATAACCTGAACAGCTGTAGTTGCAGATGTACCATAAGGGGCAGAAGTCCAGGTTCCCACTCAGCAGAATGAGCTGGATGGCCACAAAATGCAGCAGACCTGGCTCAGCATATTTTGCAGTAAGTGCAGTAATACACATTACCAACTAAATAGCCTCACCCTCCAACCCACCATTATGTCCAAAGTTTAAAAACACTTAATTGCACATAGGAGTTCTTTGGTGCAATAAAAGACAGTCATATGCTGGAAAATGAGACTAAGTACACACATTTAAAGCATACACACACCACTAAAGGATCCTTGGAGCTGTGGTTTCTTAAGGGTGCTGGGAATTACAGCTCTGTGAGGAGTGAACTACAATTCACAGGACTTTTGGGGTGGGGCAGGTGCTTTAAATGAATGGTTTGTAGCCTGAGTGTGCATGAACTTGATATTGTCATATACTGTAGAAGCAAGGTCATGCATCACGTGAGCTGACAGGTAGAGTCAAATGAATCTAGTTTAATTAGTTTTCTTATTTCCCCCCAATGTCCTTCCTGTGAATATTTTCCAGCAATATACATCTATTGTTACTGGTACAGAATGGAACAACACATGTGCTCAGCTAAATGCCCTGGCATTAATTTTTTTGGTGTGTGTATGTTATTAATTTGTGAGGGAGGACACTAAATTGGATGGCACACTAATTGCATTCTATTCTCCTTGTTGTGTCAGCTCTATTGCTTTATTAGTTAATTGCTCATTTGCTCAGTGGCCTTTCTCTCCATTATGTAGGTTAATCAGTTATTTTTTGTGATGTATCTCTTCCCCTTTGTACAAGTTACTTATTTCTGCATTCATTACTTCTGGGCTATATACTGGGGCCATTGGTAGGCAAGTGTCCTAATCATACACATTAAACTGTCGGTGACAATCTAGGTTATAAGTCTCTCTGAGCATTTTAAATTAGCACTTGGAAGGAGGATTTGGTTTCCACTGGTTGTACCCAGTGCTTTTTTTGGTTTTAAAAAAAGTATTGCCAGTAGTCATACCTTCATCATCATGGTTGCAGCACAAAATGACTATCATGCCAGCCAAAAAAGAAAAAAAGAGATAGTACTCTGTACTGGTGAATACCATCCATTAGGGTAATCCATACCAGGGAGTGCCATCACAAAAAAGAGCACTAGCTGTGCCTATTCTTTTGGATATGCCTGAATCCACACCTTCTCGTGTTCACTGACATATGTGCCACACTAACAGAGAAAATGTTGTCCAGAATACTAAGATGCTGTGTCCTTTACAGAAGTTGAAGTGATAGGAAGGATGGTCCATTTTAGAATGTTCCTCTTCGACACAACATGCATTCTTGCCTTAACAGAAGGATGTCTTTCTTTGCGTGAAGAAAGTCCTGCATCTTTGGGTATGCGTTCATGTTTCACAGATGGGGAACCTGTGGCCCTCCAGATGCTGCAACTCCCATAATACCTGATTGTTCACCGTGGTTGCTAGGCCAAATGGGAACTGGATTCCAATGACATTTGGAGGGACACAGATCCCCATCCCTGGTGTAAACAAATGTAATATGTGAACTGGACAATCACGTGCAACTGTGGTTAAGCGGATTACTTCTGACTATATTGGGGATTGCCAGGTTAATCACCAGTAAAACCAGGTCTAGGAAATAAATAGGTGAGTGACTGCCATTTCCATCTTACCCTGTACTCTCTTCTTTAACTCCCTAGGGTCTAATGCAAAGAAAATGCCTTTCCCATCACCCCCTACCTAATCCTTTTTACTGGACAGGACAGGGATTGCTCCTGAGCATAGAAAACATACCTGAGAACTCCAATCATCCCTGCCAATTCGCTATGTTGACTGAGGATGATGGGATTTGGAGTCCCAACAACATATGAAAAGCCACTAATTTCCCCACCCTTGTTCTGGAAAAATGGCATGTACTGAAAGCAGATCAGAATGTCCTGTGGAGTGTTACTACTTACAACTCCAGCCTTAGTGCCATGGTTAATGTATTCTATCCCATACCTGTTCCATTGGTGCAGCCTGGGCAACAACAAGCACAATCGCATTTCCAAAGGCCACAGTTAACAGCCAGCCAGCCTGCAGCACTGACTTCATGCTGGCAGGAGCCTGGAAAAAAAGGAAGAAAACCAGGAAGATTAGTCCATTCCCAAACACTGAGAAATTTCCTCAGCATCCTCACTGAGTACTATGCTGCAGACTGCACTCAACCACTTTCCTGTTTTGCGATGGAGTAAGCAAATCACCTCATGGCTCTGTGGGCCAGTTACAGATCAGTATGTATTCCTTAGTTACTTGGTTCAACACCTGATGATTCGCCAGGACCGGCCTCTACTATCAGGCAGAATGAAGTGGCCGCTTCCAGCAGAAGATGCAGAAAGGGAATGGTGGTGAGGCATTGGAGGACAGGGCTGTGTCCACCATGTGGCCTGACCTTCAGCCCTTAAGTTAGTTTGCTGCCCTCATGTGCAGTGAAGGACATCTGCCTCATTGCCAGAGTTAAAGTTAAATTCCCTTAATAATAAATGGTGATGGTGGTGATGGTGATGATGATGGTGGTGGTGATGATATGTCACTCCAGTTATCTGTACATGTAATGGTAGAGGGTGGGGATGGCAGCACACCATTTACCTCAGGTGCCAAAATGCTTTTGAGTGGCCCAGTGACTTGCAGACAGATGTGTGTGAACTGACTCAGTTGAATAACACTATATCATCCTGAGGTAATGTGAAGTGATCTGGAAGTCTTTGCCGAGGTGTCTGACATGTAATGGCTCATTCACATCTGACCATCACAATCTGATGCTGCGGCCATTGAGCGATGAGCATTTATGTGTGTGTAAATCAATCAACCCTGAGGCATGGCAGAAAATGGCACTGAGGTATATCAAGGGGATTCTGAGAACCAGCACATACTTCCTCTGCCCTCCAGCAGCTCTCATGTAAGCATCATCCTACCTGCCTGTGTCATGTGTGGGTTATCTCTGTATTCTCCCAGGGGCCCCAAGAAGAGACTTCTGGAATATAGGAGAGTGGAGAAATACCACATAGCCTTTGAAATCAATGTGGCTGTTGAAATGCCCTGTGGTTTTCTTGGATGTTTGAGGGAAGCACCATAGGAAGCTGCCTTATACCAGGTTTGCTTATCTTGGTGTTTTTGCTCTGATTGACAGAATCTCTCCAGGGTGTCAGGCAGGGATTTTCCCTTATCACCAGCAATCTGATCCTTTTTTTAAAAAAATTGGATAGACCAGGAGGCCTTCTGCATGCAAGGCATGTACTCTGCTGCTGAACAATGGCCCCTCCTCATTGCACACAAATAAGAACTAATCTGTCAGCACAATACAAAAGAAACGAGAAAGAGAGAGAGAGTGCACATGACTGAAGCTAACACTGCTCTCAATTATATTCTGTCCCATATTGCTATAAATCTAATATGTTTCTAGACCTTAAGTTTTAAAAGGATTACTCAGGATTACTTTATATACTAGTTTTCCTCCATCACCTAATGAAGTTTAAAACATCAGTATTATATTGTGATAGCCAAAGCTAATATTTCCATTTACTCCTGGAACCTTTAATACAGGAAGGTAATTGCTTCCATAGTATTTGTGTGGGCCGTAGTTTCTACCCATTTGACCTAGTTTATAATAGAATTATGAAATTTGTTATGAAGGGATGTAGTGATGGCAACCAACTTGGATGGCTGTTATATGGGACAAGTTCATATGGCTATAGTCAAAATGGCTATATACTACCTTCAGTCTCTGAGGCAGTGTGCCCCTGTATACCAGTGGATGAGGATAATGATCTGTAAAGGGCTATTATGCTCATGTCATGCTTGTGGGCTTCCCACAGACCATTGTGAGAACAGGATGCTGAACTCGATGCACCTTTGGACTGATCCAGCAGGGTACATCTTATATTCTTATTGTGCCAGATCTTCTGGTCACTGCATTCAGTCATCATGTCCACACAAGAAGATGGAGAATAGAGAGATGTACATATTAATAGATCAGGACTGCAGTCCAAGGCACACTTTACTTGCAAGTAAATTCACAGTAAATTTGGTCAGGATTGTGGTGCAAGTCTACACCAAACTTGCAACTTGTCCTCTGTTCTCTCAGCCTTTGGAAGACCTGGCACAGTGCAGCTTTCTATCCTGCCCTTCTCCTCATTAAGCACATCAGATTTCCGATTTTCTTCTTTGTGCTCTACATACATTACCTGGGAGTAAGAGAAGGCAATGCCTGTAATGGAAAACATCACTTCTCCAGCTGATATTAACAGGTACTGTGGAATCTGCCATGAAATATGGACATTATTGGCTGAGATGTCTTCTGTCTTCCATGCTTGGAGGGATTTTGTAGAAGTCTAAGTTAGGAGGAAAACAAGTCATGATGATTAGGTGGTGTTAATGCAGAATCTATGTTGGTGTGTGTGTGTGGAGAGGAAAGGTTTTCTTTTGAAGACTGGAGCAGCATTCTCCTCCTGGGCCCACTAAACAACTGTGAACTCTGCCAGTGGACTGAAATAAAGTCACATTAAAAGCATCGGCAAACTCTGCTTTTACCGGGAAGGTGCTGGAATTGTTTATGAGATGCATTTAATCACCATAAAGGGAAAGACAACAAGAAGGCCTGTTTTAGAAGGCTAAAAGGGGTGAGCAGTAATTGTGTGCATTACTCATTGGACTATGGAGAAATGTCACAAACACCTTCAAAAGAAGTTTGATGTTGACAAAAGATTGGGCATAGAAGATAATGATCCTAGCTATTTACATACTGCAGTTCAGCCATATTGCAGCACCATATGCATAATTTAGCTTCTTTATGCATATGCCACAAAGCATAATAGATCTGGAAGCTGAACAAAGCATACTGTTAATTGCAACAGCCAGATTGGAGAAGATCAGTCACTTGGTCAATAATAAGAAGAATAGGTATATAATGAGAAGAGATACTGCCAGCAGAAAATTCAAAACAGGCCAGATTGACTTGAGTGCTATCAGTGGCAGTTCTTTACCATCCTGATGCATACTGCTAAACTCTTGATTGTTCATACTGTTATAAATCTAGATCCCCCATTATTCTGACTGCAGTACATAAATGCACAATACATACTCCTCAGTATAATACAATTACATTTACTTCAGGTCTTTCACATCTACCAACTCTACCAATCCAGAACATAACTACTTGCAGATAAAGACTAATTCACACAATAGAAATGATGAATACGTATGTGTATACTTCATTGCTTGGAATGTGTGATAAATTTTACTTGTCTTTTTTTGTTCACAGTAGAGATTAAAGAAAGCATTGCTTTCTGTTCCTCCCTGTATTCACTGCATGCAGCACTGTTTCCATTCTGCTGCAGTTCAACTTCTGTCAAAAACTGTCATTTGTCTCACTCTCTGCTGCAGTAAAATTACATAACCAACGTAATTTACATAATTAAGTTGTATAAGTTATGTTGTCACTATGTTATTCCACCCCATTATTTTCAATGCAAATAAAATCCAATGCAAATGTGTGTGTGTGTGTGTGTGTGTGTGTGTGTGTGCATGCAGTGTTAATCAATAAATCATTTTTGAAATGAAAGCAAGAACAATAGTGGATACAAATTGTATTTTGCTGGATTGATTTTCATTGTGGACATGGGATGAATAAATGAGTATTGGAAATTCCTGCTCCTGATTGGCCAGTCTCATATTGTGTCCCAAGAAACAGTTGATAGAGCTATAGATAACAAATAGTGAAGTATTAAATATTCAGTAATGAAACAAAAACAAAAAACTGGACAATCTATGTCAGACCCTCAAGAATTAAGAGCAAAAATTTAATTTCTGCTGGGCTGTGTCTATCCATTCATATGTCTGTTCATTCATCCATCAGTTCATCAGTGTGTTTATCACAAATTCTATGCATATTTATTCAGAAGGAAGTAACAAAGTGTTCAATGGGGCTTGTTTCTGGGTAGACAAAGGATAATTCTTCTACACTGAGGCAGCTGCCACCATCTTAATTTTCCCAGAATGCCTCTGGGTCCTATGTCATGATCCAGAGGTGTCTGAGGAAATTAAGTAGAGGCTGCAGCTGCCTGGTGTGCACAGGGTCTTTTAAAAAAAGTTTTGTCATTGGCATCTGTGGGCAGCATTTGCTGCACCATGCCGAGGACTATGCCAGACTTGCAATCCATGCATGTCTACTCAGAAGTAAATCTCACTCTGTTCAGTAGGGATTAAAAAGGTAAAGGTAAAGGACTCCTGACAGTTAAGTCCAGTCACGAACGACTCTGGGGTTGCGGCACTCATCCTGCTTTACTGGCTGAGGGAGCCAGCGTTTGTCCACAGACAGTTTTTCCGGGTCATGTGGCCAGCATGACTAAGCCGCTTCTGGCAAAACCAGAACAGCGCACGGAAATGCTGCTTACCTTCCCGCTAGAGCGGTACCTATTTATCTATTTGCACTTTGATGTGCTTTCGAACTGCTAGGTTGGCAGGAGCTGGGACCGAACAATGGCAGCTCACTCCGTCGTGGGGATTCGAACGGCTGACCTTCCGATCGGCAAGCCCTAGGCTCAGTGGTTTAGACCACAGCGCCACCCGCGTCCCTAATAAATCCACATAGGATTTCAGCCAGACACCCATTGAGGTCAATGTAGGAGACATGTACGTGGCTTAGCCTTGACTTCAGTGGCTGAACTTTGGCTGGAAATGGCATGCAAGAGTCAACGGGCAACTTACGTTTGTTATAACAACTGTATATGCAGCTCCAAAATCAAGAAGGCCCAGGTTCAGGATGAATTCTTCTGCTCCCACTCTGCATTTGACATTGTTGTATCTTGATATGACAAAGAGGGAACACAATAGTTCCTGGTTAGCCACTCATGACAGAAAAGCACAGGGTGTAGCCATTAACAAGATCCTTCAAGCTGATTGAGGGCATTGCATAACCCATGTTTCTGGTTCTGTATTAAGTACAGTGTGTTATTAGCATTTTAATATTCACAGCTATTGTTTTAGGGACAGCTGAAGAAGGGCACTGATCAAAAACAATTGTGCATTTATTTTGCATTGTACAGTAAATTGCCAGAATTGTTGAAACTTTTATTTCTTTATTTTCCAGCTCTGGTTTTCTTTAAAGACAGAGAAGAAGAAGAAGAAGAAGAAGAAGAAGAAGAAGAAGAAGAAGAAGAAGATGATGATACATCTTAGACCCTGTTCTGCATGTGCAGGTAGGCAAAATTGCAGAGAAGCAATACGGATTTGCCAGATGCCTGGTTTGGTTTTACCAATTTCAGCAAGGCTTACCAACCATAAGGACTGGAAAGAAGAATAACTTTTTGTACTCATCTTTTTCACACATACTAATTTACTCAGGAGCAAGATGAGATGCACAATGAACATGCCTTTCTTAAAAAGAGACTACAGCTTAGTGAAAGAGCATCTGCCTTGTAGGCAAAAGGTCACAGGTTCAATCCTGGGAACCTCCTGTTAAAAGATCTCTGAGAGCAAAGCTGTTAAAGACCCGTGTGAGAGCTTGGAGGACTCCTGCTAGCCGCACTAGAAGGATTAATACACATCATTTGTTTATCAGGCCCAGTATTGTTCACTCTGACTGGCAATGGCTTTCTAGGGTTTCAGTCAGAGGTCCTTCACATTACCTGTTACCTGAACTTCTAAACTGCAAATGCCAGGAGTTGAACCTTGGACTTTCTGCCTGCAGAGCATGAGCTGTACTACATGGTCCTTCCTTGCTATCAAGTGAGGATCAGAACTGTCAGTTCTAACAATGCTGAATTTCCTTGTTATGGACTATGTGGGAAACTGTGATGCCTGCCTTGGACTGGTAGTGCTTAATCCCATCATACAT